TTTATTTTAATTAGGCTCACCTGACATTAGAGACAAGAGGCAAATGACTTATTCCTTCGTTGCTGGATGCAATTTAGTCGTCCCATCCCAAGACCTTAGCTGTCATCAAATGAGAAGACATTATGAATTCTGTCTCTTTCCTTTGGGACTATTGCTTTTCAGTATACACGATTTGGAGTTAGTAGAATCAGAATTAAAACAAATTGCCCCGATGTAATTTACTCTTCGAATAACCCGGTTAAATGCAAACAATATGAAACCCCGTTAGATAGGTAAATGACTTGGGGCAAGAGACGGTAAAAATCATCATCATAAAACGATCATGAACAGTAAGAACTAAGTGTCTCACTCTTCGCTATCATGAAACCATCTGACTACTTCTTCCTTTCTCGTATCAAGACACATCTCAGTATCTTAAAATAAGTAAACTAGCTACAGAAGGCAATTAACTACGAACCGGCATTAAAAGCACTGGTCCAAATAAGCTAGCGAAAAACGGGGCGAGTAAGATTGTGTTACATAAGTCTTATAATCGGAGATAAAAATCCTACTTAGAAAATCGGCATTTAAAGTCCTGCCTCTTTTACACCGATCTGTCATACATCGAACACCGATCTATGACAGCCTCTTTTCTCACCGACGCAACGACACAAGCCTATATCTATTCTAACGCTATTTCCATGGAAAATGTTCGGACGAGGTGAATTCTATGGTTCCACTTGTTCAGACCTTTACAGCTAAGATCATCCATGAGACGTCCTCGTAGCCAAGCACAACTCTTTCCCGCCATATATTCCAGCTGTTATGAGGAAGTTCCATTCAGAGAGCATTTCTTACTTTTTGTAAGAAGCTCCCGGGTGGATGCTTCCCTAACGGTACAATCTTAACTTCTTCAAGTCAAGGGAGAATAATTACCTATCCTCATACCCTTAACTTTCTACTTACGACTCTTACATTCATATCAAGTTGATCATTCAATAACCCTCTTTCTCTTTCTTTCTTTCTTTCTTTCTTTCTTTCTTTCTCTCTCTCTCTCTCTCTCTCTCTCTCTCTCTCTCCCTCTCTTTCTAGTGACTATCAAGCCTTGAACATTAGTTAAAAAATAGTATTTAAACCCCGAGGTAAGCGACATTCATTATTTATACCATTGTTCTCATTATCTGTCTATATCTCTATGATCAGGCATCGTTCGGACTGTTGTTCTCATCTTTATTGTCATATTCACGGCGTTTCGGCCGTCGTACGCGCCGATCTTCTTCATGATCTGTCTATATTTCTGAGATGAGGTATTACAATTGTTTACTTTATTTATATTGCTCGGATTGTTATCCTCATCTTTATTACTATATTTACGACGTTTCGATTTCAGGTAATTGGATTTATTTCATCCAATGGGGTAGATTGTTCTAGTTCTACGTGTCATGCCTCTTCCGGATGTCTCAGTTATCTCCCTTTAACTCATCTCTCCAAGTTTTTGTTCACCACTGCAATCGCCCGGTATTGAACTCGCAAGTCTCTAGATCCCACCAACGCTTTTATCCAGTAGGCCATGTGTCCTTGACGACATCTCTATATGAATTTTGGTGACTTATAACCTTAATGTCTCAGCAACAGATTTTACCAGAGCTCATATTGCAATTTTTGTTGTTATTATTGCTTTTCTCTGGCACTCCTTATTACTGGTTCCCATATTGTTTTTATTGCTATGCTTGGCCGACTCAGGCGATTTTTGTAGCCTAGCATATGTGCTGATTCCTTAAGTTTTCGTATTTTGTAGTGATGTTCGTTGTCTGTTATTTCAACCTAATCCGAAGAGAAATCCGGAAGAGACATGGCACGTAGAACGAGAAAAGTCTACCCCGTTAGACGAAATAAAGGGGTCAGTTCGAAAATTCAAACACCTGAAGAAAGCCAGAGTGTACAACAGTCGAAATGTCGTGAATATGGCAATAAAGATGTGGACAACAGTCGAAACGATGTAAATATTGTCCACATATTTGTTGTTATTATCACAACTTTTAGGCCGTTGTGCCCCATCTCCGGCCTTCTTCAAGCTAGGTAATCTACAGAGAATACTAAACTCAACTCTTTACTTAATCTATGGGGGTAGACTCCTGTCTAGGGATATCTCATCTTGTTCTTATTTTATTTAGTATTGCTCTGTTGTCATTGGCCCGTTTCCTGGGGAAGACCGAAACTTTGTGACAACAACAACAAAGATGAGGACAATAATCCGAATATAAATAGTGTAAATAACGATAAATCTTTATCTCAGTACTTCAGATAGAAAACTACATTCACTTTATCGAGTAGAAGATCATATGTGTAGGTCACAGAGTGAGGATCAAATTCATTACACTCGTAATGGTCTATAACAGTGTTTTCTCAACTTTTTTACCCTTGCGTAACCCTTAAAATAAATTACATGTCTCAAGGAATCCCTGCGCAAAAAACAAAATTATATACCATATCTTACTCATTTTATTTTCATCGCAGTTCACGTGTATAGTATATATTTTTGAATAACTGGTTTAAGAAAAATTTTATACTCTTTTGTCAATTTTTTCGGTAATGCTAAAAAATATTCATACTGTTAGTTTATAATAGTTCATCAGGGAGCTTTCATTCACACAGAAAAAAATCTAAATTGGGTAAACCTCGTAAAAGATTGAAAATCTATGGCTCCAAACCTAAAGCGTAAATGTACCATATTAAGTGTTCATGGCTACTTCGAGGTGCTGTAATGTCTTGCTAGGATCAATTACGACTGAGTAGTGAATTCAATCCTCAGTGGGTGCTCACACTTTCGGCCTAGTGCCACATCCAAGCTACGTCTAGAAAATAATTGGAGCACTTCAATGTGGCATAATGTTATGAAGCTTGTCTCGCTAGATCAGTTAATAACTGAATAGTGGGTTCAATCCTCCCAGGGTATTATATATTTTCGCCATATTTTCGGCCATATCTAATTTACACTTAAAAAAATCTCCATATTAAGCAGGAGAAAACTGGTCTTCAGTTGCGAATTCAATTTCCCACAGGACGTTTTCACATAGCTAAAAGTGAATGTCTCCGCCAAGATTAACAATATGAACAAGCACATTTGTGTTGCACCTGTTGCTATATTATCTAGAGCACCTCGACGTGGTGTAATGGTTAGAAAGCTTGTCTTGCTAGATCAATTACGACTGAGTTGCGAGTTCGATCCTCACTGGGTGCCCCATACATTGGGCCCTGTGCCCATCTAAGCCGGACTTAGAAAATCACTAATATCTAGAGTATTACACCGGAACAAAAGATCGTAGAGTTTTGCAATCGGTGGCGTTTGATCCAAAGATTTACTATCACACCTGACTGAAATTTATGACATATATACATCACTGAGGAAAATGAAATGCATTTACATCATTTGATGCTCTTTTATTTACAAAAAGAAAAAGACCCCGGTCCAAACAACCAAAAAGATATATGGAGATGATCCCACAACATAGATATGAATTGATACAGGTTTGTTGAGTTGTCCTAATATCTGACCTTGTACCTTATACTTGACCTTGCAACTTCGGATTACCATTTATTTTGATCCTTAGAATATTCACTTACTGGGAAGAATTCAAATTTCTGAAAGCCTATAAAAACTACTTAGACTAGTTCATCACCCAGAAAGCTATCAAGTTTAGGGAAGATGGAGGCATACAGCAGCTTTAATGATGACAAAAAGTAGTGGCACAAATGTCACATATGTGTTTAAATAAATCCGAGAGACCGCTTCTTGCCTCCTGATACTAACTTCCATGAGAGAGACCCGTTGCGTCTTCTCAGTCTAACATTATATTTAATCCATTGCTAGATCTGCTGAGTCGTGCTAGACAATTTTTCTCTCTTGAATCTATCTTACATATTTATATGTCTACCATTCGTCCATGCTTTGAATATTGCTGCCACATATGCCCCAGTGCTGCTGTTGTATATCTATCGATTCTTCATAAAATCCAAAGAATCAACAATATTATTAATCTTGACCTGGCATCTCGGCTTCAGTCACTTTCCCACTGCCGTAATGTAAATTCTCTGTGCCTTTTCTTTAAATATTTTCATAGTAATTGTTCAAATGAACTCTTCGCTATGGTACCTTGACTTTATGAATTTAAGAGAAGTACTAGATTGGCGGTAAGGTCTCACCATTTTACAGTTGAAATGGCTAGACGTAACTGTAAGTCCTATGCTAACAGATTCTTCTATGGCACTTCTCGCTTGTGGAATTCACTTCTGGCTTCTAGTTTCCTAGTCAACTTTGATCTTCAAAAAATTAAATTCTTATCTATCTTATGTCTTCTTAATTCTTGTTCTTTTATTATTCTCTCTCCTTAATATTATTTTTCTTTTTTTCACATTGTCTCTAACACCCAGTAATCCATTGAGTTTTAGTGGCTTTATTGCCTTAATAGGGGTGAAATGATAAAAATAATGATATTTAATCCTGGAAAATGTATCGTTGGACTCAAAAAATGTTAGAGAAATTGACAGATATAGAATGTTAAGTAATTTTGATGGTGACTGTTGTTATTTCCATACATGTTTATACTCTCTACATGTTTATACACATTTATATTCTATACATGTTTATACATGTTTATACTCTATACATGTTTATGTTTATACTCCATACATATTTATATATAATTATATCAGGTTTTAACGGTGTATGTTATCAATTCGTTTGTGTTTATAAATAATTTTATGGGCCTTTTAATGGCGCCGGCTCTCAATCCATATAAGTTTATACATGATTTATGTACTTTTAAGCTAAACAAAGTATTAAGAATCAAGAAAGTTTCGTTAGAAGCAAAGAAAAGACTACTGAACTATTCCGTGATATCAGTCCTTTTACATGGTAGCAAATGCTGGACAATCTCCTCACAGATGTAGAAGAGAATTGAAGTAACAGCTATATGCTTCTGAGGATGGTGAAAATACCATGGACCAAACATGTGAGAAAT